CCACTTTCCCTTTCCATTGACATGTTGCAATATAGGCGTAAAATGGGGAAAGTGGTGTGTTTGGAAAAAAAGGTTTGGAGTTCGAACCTACCCCCCCCCCCTCCTCCCACATAATTGGATTTTCGTGTTTAACCAATGCACATTTCCCTTTTTTTTATTGCTTGTCAGGTCTTTTTGAAGGTTTAAAAATTCCTTATACCTACCCCCCTCCCCCCCCACTTTCAATTTGCTTCCGACGCCAATGTTTTGAGCAGATTTGTACCGTACTAATTTTGCATTAAACTGCCAATACATGTACATGTTCAAAGCAACTTTTGCAGGAAAAATTTATTAACGTTGTAAAAATTTGTTACATCTTTACATTTAATAAATAACGTGTAATTGGTAGCAAATTTTCATAATTTGAAACGCATATTCATATTCATTTAATTGCGATACAACAGAGGGAAACAAGATTATTATTTTCCAGGGTAGATGTTAAATCGTGAAATGTTGGTAGTAAAGTCTTTGTCGGGGAAATAATTACTTCAGGTTAAATAATCCTTCATACTAAAGGTTAAAATAAATCATTAAAAAGAAAGTCTTTAACCTCTAAAACGTTTAATTTATACTCCCATACTGTATTGATGTTTTAAAAAGGGCTGAATGTGATGAGTACCGGAGACGTTACTACATGTACATGCAACAGCCTGATTCAGCGATTTTATACATGACCAAAATTATGTTGTTTTCGGGAATCCAGAACTCCAGAATCTTCGTTAGTACATGTAGATAAACCATGCACAAAATAGTTTTAAAACTGTTCAAACAGATTGTATGAATTTGTAACAATTTGAATTAATTATAACATTTTAGTGATGTATCATGTTTGCCATTTTTACATTCGGTGTATTGTGTATAACCTCATCAAACAGATTATGAAAAGGTTGATAAACATACGTTCAATCTGTTTAATTCTCAATCATGAATTCGAAATATTGTAGACAGTGGGACTGTTACTTACAATGTATGCGAGCATCCGTAAATTCAAGACGAAATTACATGTAGTACGAAGTATCCAAAGAAATAAAGCAGACAAGCGACACAGAAGAAAGGGAAGGGAGGGGGAGGGGAGAATTTTTTCTACATTTTTTGTACAACATGAGAAGGTGTTCAACAATAAAATAAATTGAGAAGCTCAAAAGGTCTTTCTTCAAAATATTCATTTTAAATCGACAGCTAAAACTAATTCCGGAAGAAGTGTCCAAATCAAATACTCTGTGTCGTACCTATAGAGAATACTTTTTTAAAAAAACTAAACTTAAATATTTTTCAATAACAGTTCACGTTTTATTTATATAAAAGGCAGCGTTAACTGTCCCAAACCAGTTTACATGTACACCGTTTACATTGGGTTAAATTCATTCCATAATTAAAAGAGAAGTAATTCAGGTCAATTTTCATTGCATCGCTATTTAAATAAAAATACCTTAGTTTAATGCTCCTTTAAAATTGCATGTGCATTACGACAAAATAGCTGGACATTAAGCTAAAAAAAACTATCTTTAAAAACGTGTTTGTTTGACCTTTTAAAATGAACAGACTAAAATCTTTTTAAAAACTTGCAAATAATTTATTCCGGTTTTTCTCATCCTATTAACAATTTTAATGCCTTCAATCTTGTTCAACACTGAAAATTTCTGACAAAAAAAAAATTCGACCTACCTACCAATGTAATTTTTTAACCCGAATAGGGAGAAGGCAAACAAACTTCATTTCAAAAACGGCCTTAGGGGAATTTTTCAGCCACCACTGGAAATCTTTAAAAAATACACACTTAATTGTGAAAAGGAGATATCACACAGCCACTTGACGGAGAATAAATTTTTAATAAATAAACTACATCAAATTACACCCAAGAATCCGTCTTAGTGTATAAAAAAACAACATCCCCCTGTTCTATTGCGGAGAGTTTCTCTCAAGGAGACGTTTTTACGTCGCATTTACCTTGTTGACTTTAGACGCGTCTTTTGACGTTACGTCATAATAGACATAAGGGAGGTTTTTGCTTGGCGCGTCACATATATACTGGTGTCTGATAAAATCGTGGTACTTAATCCTTTTGCATAAAAAATGGTTATTCCAATTTTTTACTTTAACTTTCATCAAATACTATCCATAAACCAATCTATGGCCTAACTTTTCAGTGTCAAATTATTTCTCAAGTTTGCATTGTTTAATTTGTTGTCTTTTTTTTTAATGGAAAGTCTTATTTACCTCCTAAATTTGAGAGTCTCATAGTATCGCGGTATAGAAAAACATGGAAACTTGTGGCTGACATGGACTTCAATTTTTTTTTTTAATATATTTACGGTGTAATTCTACATAAAAAATAAACAATTATACAAACTAAAGACTTTCGAAACACGAACTTTATTATGGTTTTTACTAGGTTATAAAATCAATGATCTATATATGATAAAAACGGGAATGGAAATGTGTAAAATTACGTTTTATTTGAATAAAAAAATTACCGACGCATGTTCCATACTTTTTAATCATCACAAAAGTATACATTCGGACGACAAACAGATAGTAATTCAACAGAAAGGATATGAGCTATGTATCTGAATTTTTGGAATATACCGCGATACAATAGAACCCGCGATATAATGAAAAGCGAGTACCAACTAAGAACGGCCATGCACCACCACCCACCGAATCAAGATAGAGCTCTCAATCTATACAATACAGATTGGCAATATGAAATAAAATAAGTGCGGCATTTATTTTATCTGATATCAAATAGTAGACGAGTCTAAATTAGCTGGAGAACTAAAGCGTTATGGGCCGCGTTATGGTACGTTTTATATTTTAGTCTCTGACAAGAGCGTTATGGTCAAAGACTAAATTATACTTGTAAAACCTTATAATGTTACAGTTCGATTCAGCAATTAGTCTCAGTGCACAAATGTTCTCTTTATAAATGTAATGAAATATATACCCTTAAATTGCTGTGCAGTGTAGGTACGATATTTAATATTTCATATCTAAACATTATTAATTTTCTCCCTCCTCTTCTTTACAAAAGTTTTTATAAATGTATGAATGATATATGAAGGTAAAAGAAAACACAACAAAATATGTGTAAGATTTTTTTGGGTAAAAACAACCAAACAACCTTACAACACTTAATTTAAGACTGAATAACCAATAAAAAAAATAACCTGCATGTAATGTACGAATCCTGATTATCTTACTAACTTAATCGCTCGTTTTGGCTACATTTTCATGCAGGAATTGTTTACAAAATATATTTGTATACATTTGCTAAGATATGGGCTTTTTGCAAGCGAAGTTGAATCATGAGTAATTAGGTCAAGCATTGAAATTAAAGATTCCCAGCCTATCCCCATCTCTACGAAAGCAGATACATATATCAATCATTAACATGTTGTTGCAATTGAATTAAGGCCCTAGCTGTGAAATGATTGCAGGACCGACCATTTTTATTGAATCTGTTATCAGCTTCTGACAAGATCGATTAATTTTGTGTGATTTTTTTATTAAAAATTAGTCGACAAAGATATTCCGCAAGTCAACGATAAAACCACATAATATTCTACATTTAACGTATTTACTGTTTTGTTTAATTAAAAAAATAAGATTTTATATTTTTTTCAAAATGTAACCCAAATTTTATTTTTATTTCGTTTTGATATATTAAACATTTTTTCTTGCGTTATCATTTTAGCAAATGTCCCATTTGTTATGAATATATTCAACGATTTCTTGATAGTAAAAACATAAAAAAGGGGAGTAATCAAATGTTGAACTCGCTTTTGATTGGTTGGTTTGGATATTGAATTTCGAAACTCGAATTTTGAATCTCGAATTTCGAATCTCGTATTTTGAAACTCGAATCTCGAATGAGCCTTCTGGGCTTTCGTAAATTTCTTACTCGGGCATTTTATGCGTGAAATAGGTACCACATCCATAGAAACAATATGCAATTACAAGATAAAGATATATGATATAATACTTTAAATTAAATGCCAATTAAACCTATTTTCAACATCATGCGGTGTGCATTTTGTAAAGATTTACATTCAAAATATGCAAAATGTGGATTCATCAAAATTCATGTCAAAAGAATATTTGAAGTTTTTAATTTAAAAAAAAAATCGCATTTATTACTTGTGTCTGGTGTGTTGCCGACATAAATAAACACTTTTTGATCATTTGTATTCAGAAACATGCATAAAATCTTGATGTGTACAGACCGACCCTCAATTTTTCTTAAACTGACGGCCATTTGTAATCTCTGAATCACGTGACTTAGGTGATCGATGTTGAACAACAAACATCAAAATTATTAAATAGAATGATTATAGTTAAATAAAATCCCATTTAAAAGTGATTTTATCGAATGCCGTGAAATGGCCTTATACAGTATCAAGCTTTCCAAGCTGAGCTCTGTGTTTCTCATTAGAAAAAAAAAGTCAAGAAAAAACCCATTTTTGTCTTTTTTTGGTTGGATTGTAAATTTCGGCCTTTTCGCCCTTTCGTACATCATTTTTAGCCTGTAAGTACATACATGTATAAATGTGAAATATGTATTGGAAAAATTTCTTTTATATAATCTCTTCGACAAAATAAAAATCAATTATTCATATGTAAATGTTAATGTTAAAGGGGCAAAACTGACTCTTTTCTTAAACTGTAAATCACTTTTTTTCACAAGAACTTTATTTTCGCGTAATTATACGAGACAGTGTGCTCGCGAAAGTTTCATTCTCGCGTATAATAATATTCCTTAAGAATATATAGAGCAATAACCACAATTCGGGAAAGTTTTGTCTCGCTAATCAAGAGTCGATGACTATCTCGCGAAAATAAGGTGTTGCGAAAATTTAGCGATCTACAGTATAGCTCTTTCAAAGAACAGAACAGAGTTTGTAGCAAAAAAATATACAATTTTCATAATGAATTTTTCTAATCTATTCTCAAAATTTTCTCACAGACGTAACCGTTTTCAACGCTCCCAGGCATATCAGAGCAGATAAATCCATTTTTGCTTTTTGTTCTCATATTGTTTTCTCCAGGATTATTTGAATTTTGAATCTCACAAACCCCTTCCATCGGGATCGATGTTCCATCATGAAATTTCCAAGTTCCGCTTTCTAATACGGCTTGGACCCAGGTTATAAACTCTCCAAACGCTCTAAATGGTTCTGAGAAAAAAGATACAAAATCACAGATGACCATCTCCAAAAATTTGTTTGGTTGCCCTTTCCCGACTAAAAAACATTTTACAATCCAATACAAGATTTTTTTCCCTTCTTATTCCCCTTGTCTCGTCAACAAATATGTGGAAATTTTATTAATAATAAAAGAAGTCCCCTTGTACCTACCGACCAAATTATTTTAACCGAGTCCGGAAAGCGTAAGCAAACATTATTTTTAAGGTGCCTCAGGCAAATAACAATAATTTTGTAGAAAGCGTAGTAAGTACACCTTAATTTCAATTATTAAAAATTGGTACAATGTACGTATGAGATTTAAATTGTCTTATCCCCTTAATGACATTCCATTTCTGACTTAACAAAAATAAACCTCACTCATGATCATAAGTAGATAAATGTAACCATTTTGAATATTTTAAAGTTATACACTGTCAAATAACAAATTTTCTTTTGGGATTTAAATATCGTTGATTTCAAGGTATGAAAAAATTAACCCAGGAATTAATGCCACCACTGATTGCAAATTTTCATTATTTTACTACTGGACGAATTCTTAACCTCGACAAACCCATATTAAACAAATGTACTTTCCTTAAACCACAAAAATTTGACCCTTCAGAAATGTGTGATTTTACAATTTAATTATTTTAATTAAATTTTTAACTTAACGTTAGGAAACAAAATCTATAAAAAAAAATATTACCCAAATACATTTTGTAGATTTCATATTTCCTCTTAGAATCGATTTTGACGAGATCTCCTCCCTCATCTTGACAATTCTGACGGGCTTTCTCGTAAGTCCGAAATTCTGAGTAGTACTTTAAACAAATACTAAAATCTTCTGTGTCGTAGAAGGTATAATTCGCAAAACAGTTTGCTGCAATGAAATGTATCAAATTGAATTACATGAAATTAATATTAATTATTATAATCATGAATTATTCCATCGTTGTGTTTTATCTTTTATATTCTTTGAATGTGAAAGGGAAAATTACACACAAAAAATGTTTAAGCCAGGGTTGAAATAAGCAAAATATTATGTTCATATCTATGCGAAATATTTGAAATAGAATGTATACAAGACCGATGATATTAATAAATATAGATAGTTATAAGTCATAAATGTTTGATTTTCAATCAAAAAATAACAGAATGTTCTTTCACCCGAGTGAATAAAACTCTCATCAGAAACAATAATAAAACAAGGTAGCGTTGACAAAGAAAACAAGTTAATAGGCCTATAATAATACAGCAGAATACGATTATAGCTATATTTAACACGATAATAAAGAATTGACGCTAATACCGAAGTGATTTTCATTCCATTTGTTTATAAAATAAGTTCACAATTAATGCATATAGCGAATTACACTACGAATCCGTACCTGACACTGCATTAAAGGTGTGCTTTACTATATCTATTTAAGAAAGGATTCCCCCCGTTGACTACTTACATGGTACAAAAGAATCCCATGCCGGACCCGACAATACATTCCCCAGCATTGGTTCAAAACAACATATACATCCAGTAGAATTTTTGTCATAACTTAACATGTAATATCCGTAGACTGTATCCAAACAAGTACCGAGACACTTGAACCTGTTTCTTATATGGTTGAAGTAGATGCAAGAGTCTTTTGGATAAAAGTTTCCTTTAACTGCAAAACTTTGCCTAAATCTCGTGGGTTTGGCAATTTTGAAATGATGAAATGTTAACGTTATGAGAAGATGCAGAATATATGATTTAAACATTTCGAAATCACGTTGTTGAATGCTTCATTCTTTGAATGATAAGCGATGTAAACCTCTCATTTCTAGTTCAAATAAAGTGATCGAAAGGGCAATTTAAATGTTAGGTTTTCATTTAAAATGTTTGCTTTGCTTTCAGTAGACAAAATCGGTTTCTAATCTTTATCTGTTATTCTCAATATTTGATGCCGTCTAATATTATTGTCTGAGAACAGTATTTCCGTTTGTCTTGCTTTTTCAATAGTAATATTACATTTTCAAAAATCGATGTTTTCGCATTGCAAAAAAAAATTTAGAAATGCCTTAATTTGTCTTATCAGAACAATCTTTGTTAAATGTTGTAGCATAGCAGTTACTTGGCATGCTGATTTCTTGCAGTTTCTGATACAATTAAAACTGATATTTATATAGGATATTGTATATAATATAACCATTACCAAATGAAGGAAAAAGTTTTTTTAATATTCTTTTATGAGAAGTGGTATTTCTCACATTCACACGGTTACACGATAGCCAATTGTTTAGGCGCTTACCTCATTATTGAGAGGGCTGTGTTCGATTCTTATTTTCGATGCCACGACAACGCATGGCGTATAAGGTTTGTTTAAAAAGAAACAAAAATATTTTGACTTTTTGCACACATTAAAAAATGATGAATCGTTGACCATCAATGTTCAATAACATCATCACCCGACTTTTCTAATTAAAGTATTTTCTGTTTCTATCATGCTTGGTTTTGTTTCCGCTAGGCCATGGTCTAGCCTTAAGAAAAACACGTCCAAATTTTGTAATATACAAGAAACAAGCACCTAGAGAATACAAGGGTAGATATGTATTATTGGATTTAAAAAAAAAGAGTTTAATCACTCATTATCCAGACCTTTCACTGGATTTTTCTTTGTCTCTTAGCTTGCGTTTTGAAGCTGGGGAATCATAATCTCTTTTATATGTTATATGTACTCAATAGGATACACCAAGAATCGATCAGCACGATATGTTTTTTTTCATTACATGTCTATAAGGAGATGATTTTCACAAGTGTGTTAAAATACGAACTATGTATCAATGTGAATATTGATTAGAATCAATACAATAAATAGATGTGTCCTTTCGACACACTTTTCTAACACACTTTTTACTTCCTATACTAAATTCAGTTTAAATGAATCCCTGAATGACTAAAATTGAGAGTAAGACGAATAAGCAGTTTATTCAAAAGGCGGCAAAATGAAGCATAAAATGTGTCAATATCCAAGAAATGTTTACTCTAGATCCACCACTGTGAAATCTTTGTCTTTTTCTTAACCATAGTTATACTGTAAGCACAATCAGAAGTATCCATTTGTACGCTAAGTCATTATATACATGTAATACGGTGGAATCAGTTTAATTCGTGGAGGTCAATGTTCAGTGTCAATGTAAAATTTTCCCTGTTCGTGGGAACGTTATTTCGTGGGTTCCCTTTTAATACGATGGTTCAACAATGAATCGATATGTTAACAAAATAAATGTTCCTTGAGATGAAAATTCGTGGGTAAGGGTGACCCATGAAATCCACGAACATTGGCGCCGTACTAACAATGATGATTCTACAGTGCATACAATTCTGATTACAAGTTAAATATATAACAAACAACCTTTTTAAAAATAATTTTTAATCGGAAAAAAATATAGATATACTTATATATTTCTAACGGGAAAAACAAAACACTGATTAATTATTTTTACCTTGTGTTCAAAAATATTACATAACATATAAAATGACATCAGTTGCAAAACAATGCTGTCAACATTAGTTGCGTTTTAGTTGATTAATTGTATTATATTCTGGATCTATCAGGTTTTAAATTACCGTTTTCCAACATCTGTTTCAATATTGATGTTGTGCTGACTCAAATTTGAAATTCATACTTTCTCTTAATGAGAGATTGGACTTTTCAATATTTTTTGTTCATATTTCGTTTTTTCATTCAGTAACATTACTCTATCGCCAACCTTAAATAAATGAGCTTCGAAATAATTGAATCACTGGTCAAGTTCAAAGGTCGTCTCGAAGAAAAATTAAAACAAAACCCTAAATGCAGAGAAATCATGAACCATGAACAAACTCGATGTTTGATCATATACCATAAACAAGAAATCGTCCATCGACTACTAGTCAGAAACACAATGTGAAGTAAATGTTCTACATTTAGCTGTGTATTCCTGTTAACGCCTTTGGTGGAAAGCGCCATCCACTAATTCAAGTACAAAACTTAATGTCTTGTACATATACACATAGATAAGAACATTATGAAATGCGCAAAATCAGATCGACACTTACTTGCTCAATAAATCAATAGCCGCCAAATATCTTAAACGCTAAATACAATTCATTTACAGTATTCTTTATCATGACCTGGTGTATCTAAAATTTTGTAGGCAATGCTGTGTAAGAATTTTTGTAGATTACTAGATTTCAAATGCTTTTCAACACATTACACAGCGCCATACAAATATATAGTTACATAACATTTTGCTTGGCAAGGTCATTGAGCCCCCACGAAGTAATCATCAAGGATTCCAAAATGAATTACTTAATTCTATAGATTAAGTGTTTAGTTCCTTGTCCTTACGAGAATTATATAGAGACGTCAGTTTATACCGTTACAGCGTTTCAAATTTAGACCTTTACTTGACACTCATGGCCATTTACCAGTGAAGTTTTTTCTCGTGCCAACACCTAACACGAAACAGGTTTTATTCAAGGTACCCGCACTTTCAAAGTGCAGAGCGCTTGTTGAAGGAATAGTTGCTACCTATTTGTATCGACTTAACTCTGTCGCGGCCGATGTTCGAACCCAACATCCTCCGATGATTCACCAATCACTGCGCTACATTATACACGGGTGGTTTATTGAATTTGTCAATCAGTTTTAAACCGTTGAAAAAATATTTTTAAAGGATTTTTAACCAATGTCGATTAAAGCATCATTTTAGAAACTTGTGCACAACGAGTGCTTGGAAACGAGCACTTTAAGAAGCAATGTAGACCGTTCCGTACTGCGTTGAACTCTAGACATGACGTCGTTGTGAAATCTAAAACCTTAACTGCATAATAATAGTTTATTAGCTTAAGCATGGGCCTATTTAATACAAATACCAACATTACAGAGCATAACTTTAAAAAAATTTCATCGCCTTCGCATTTCTTGAACCTTCAAAAATTTAATGTTCTCTTGGACCTTTTGTTACTCAAATACCTATACATACATAGATTAATTTAGAACTTCTATATCAAATTTTATTTCAATGCATATTGTTTAATTATGCCGATTAGCCTTGTTTGATTGGAATTCGTGACAAATAAAGATTGTTGAAATCTAATTAAGTAGAAAAAGTTACATATAACGTGAGTGTCCAAGTTATGATAAATATCAAAAAAGATTTTTAATGATTTTGAATCGTAATCTTCCCCTATTTTCTTTTTTTTTCTTTTCTCCTCTTTGCTTGTTTGTTAGTTTGTGTGTGTGTGTGCTTTTTTTTGTTTTTCTTTTCGTAAACGAAGGCTCAGTCAATTACGCTGATACAACGTTCTTAACTTTGATTATCTAGAATGATAAATTTGAGGATATTACATAATGATCGATCAAACCCCCTCCGATAATTAAAATCCTTGGACAGGTCAACAGGGACCCATGTCAACTCCAAAGGTCAGATCAGGTCCCAGGATCATGAAAAGACTTAAACTTAAGTCAAATTTATAATCATCCGTTAAAAGTTTATTGAACAAATCTCTAATTCTGCAGATAACAAGACTTTCGTAAAGCAATATTTAAAAAAAAAAATTCATTTTTGCCTATTTGACTCAATCAAAATTCTAGAACAACATGAATATTTTGACTTAAGCTTAGGATATTTCATGATCCTGGTGCCAGGTACCAATGAGGTGTACGTATCCCTCATTGACTGGTTACAACAGTTGGGAACAAAAAAGCTGATATCCTACAATTGGGATAAACCAAAATGCAACCTATTAGAAGGTTATTTTTTTCTAATAAAGTACTTTTAACAATTTTTTAATTAAGAAACAAAATGCTGGAAATCCTGCTGAGATCCTTGCCTGTAACATCAACTTATCAGTAAGTATATGTAATCTGCATCAGTTAAAAAATTTACTTACTGAAAACGTTGAGGAGACATTCGAACCAAATATACGTGAAAGTGGAACATTTTTGCAAAAGCAAGGAAAAGTCAAGATGGCAAAACTGAAGTGATCTTGTTTGTCAAAGAATTTAGCTGGTCAGTATCGTCTCTTATCATTAAAGTTTAAGAAAATTGATAATTATGGTGTCCGTTATTTTAAATTCAATGTTTAAAGCCTGGTCCATGCATTCGCCAGGTATTCTAATTATAATGAATTTTTCAGTGTTAACATTTAAAGAAATATATTTTTATTTACGTATATTTTTATTGATAACATCGTTAAAAGCGAATGAAAAGTTACCCTTTCCCCTAAGAAAAATAAACAGAAAATAAACTAAAATTCTACTTTTAAATGCCATATCACACCAAATTCTTTTTTTTCTATCAAATTCAAAACTTCGAAAAGCACTCACCTTATTCAAGAACAAAAAGTTCAGAAAATCAAAAGCTCATTTTAGAAGGTTTTAAATGTAAACATCGAATGAATTATACATAAAAGAAATCGTTTTCCAGCATATTTAGATTTCTAATGTATAATGCCTATCAAAATATTTAATGTTTTATTCGTATCATTTAACCTTTAATGAGAGACAAACATATTTATTGAAGTCAATGGGACTCATTCAGAAAAAATCGAGATATTGATACTGTTACATGTTGTTGCATATTCACATTCAGAGGTATCTAGATCGCACTTTATATTAATTTACAAGTAATCAATATCATTCTTTGATTATTTAACGAAATAAGAGAAACATATAACTTGATTTCAACAGTTACTTTAAGTTAATTTATTTACAAATTAAAGTTATTTCAAAACAATTCTGCTTGATCAAGGAATCTGGCTCTGGGTTTTAAAACATGATGATATTAATATCAGGTTTTGTGGCATTGAAATTGATTTCCACCATGCTGATGTATATTACAGTATGTAAAAATAGAATAAGAATAATCAAATGTCTAACCAACAATAAGTATGACCAAGGTTCTCAATTGGTCTTTTACCATGGTGGTCCCGCCACAATTACATTTTCTATCGCTTACAGTTAAAAAATCAGCGCCACAGTTCCGCCATAGTTAAAATATTAGCGTCACGGTAAGATCGTCGTTTTAAGTACGGTAAATAAATAAGTTATTTAATCAAATAAACTTCTAAACCTCAAAGTTTTGTACATTTTCAGCTTCTAACACTAAACTGTTAATTTACTCTAATTAGGGCCATTTCTTTGGCTTGCACAATCAATTATCTTCTAGACCTTGCTGGACACTTGAATCCTTTTTTTCACTCTTCACGATAATTATACATTGAAATTTTAAATATTAGTTTGTTCATGCTTAAAGGGTTAGACAGTTAACCATGTCTCTAACATTGCACTTCCACAAAACATCGTATGTCTTATGTGACGTTCCAGAATTTCTTTTGTCCTTTAATGAATACTGTATATGTATATTTACCTTTTCTTAACTTTTATTTTAAATCAGCGTAAATTGATTAAAACCTATTATTACTGATACATGTTTTTAGATCCTATAAGCAAGTATATATTTATTTAGTACATACACGTACATATGTTTGAGAGGGGACCCATTTACACAATACATGTATTGTGGAAATATTTATTTTTTTGTTTTAAACAATGTTAAATCGATATTAATTTCTTCTTCTTATTATTATTATTAAATATATAAATCATTTTGTCAAATAATTAATGTCATTTGTATTTGAAGTTGATATTGATCAATTACAAAGGTGGTGTGTTTTTTTTTTTCAATTTCTCACAGGGAACTTTCGAGAATTTGGTCGCAAAATGATCGCGAATATTAGTACTTCGCGCAATTCTTGCGGCAGAGTTTAATTTGATGGAGAATCCTGTTACAGGGATAGGTTTTTGCCTTCAATCATTGTCGTGATATTTGTTTGTATCATGCATACTTTATACAAGCTTGTGGAGGTCCGTGTTTCCTTCGCTTCTATTTTGTTTTGTTTTATGGACTTTTGAGCTCGAATGCTCATCTGTTTTTCCATATATTTTGTGTAAAATTCAATAACAATTGGAAAAAAACAGATGTCGCAAAAGTTATGTAATTGTAATTGATATCGTTTTAAAAGTTGTTATCGATTATTAACTACATCCATTTGGAATAAAAATGATTAATTTCAATAAAAATATTAAATGTATTGCGTATAACTTTGTAGATCCTGTCCTTTAGGCAATTCATTATTTTAGCGCTTAATCATACATGTATAACTCATATTATTCTAATTCAAAGCAATTGTTGTACACGTTAAAGTAAATACCTAATCATATCCAATATCATATCCTTTTTTATAATGAAAGGCATAAAAAGAAACTCTAGATTTTATTTGTGAAATTTTAAAATATATAGATTTATTTTTTTAATATAAATGATCTGAAGAAAATTCTCTTTGAAGCAATATTTTTTTTAATTTCAATTTTAGATAAAGTAGCTAAATATTAAAAATAAACAAAAAATGATATTACTGTTCCAGCCAATAAATCGAATTTAAACGCATATTCATAATAAATGGAAATTTAAGTAAGACTTCCATTACATGTAACTAACGGACTAAAAGGATAAAAAAGAAGGCTTTTTTAAGTCCAGTTCTTTCCTCTTATAAGAGAAAATTGTTAAAAACGAAAGCAAATGGAGAAAAATGAACTCAGAACTACGTTAATTTATCTTATAATGAAAATTTAGTTTTGGTAACTTAACAAAAAATTATTAGGATACACCTAATACTATTGTGAAATTCGTTTGAGATTACTATAATCTGTTAATATAATATTATTACATGTGATGGATTCAAAATTCTAAGTAAAGCAATGATCTTTTTCTCAACAAAACGGCATTGATACAGAATATATCTACAAGCATATTGAAACAATTTTGAAATTAAGGAGGCTGGGGGGTCAACAAATTAACCACCAGATTTAACTTATTTTTTTAGATACGGTATCTTAAGCTGTCAACTATCATTTGGCAAAGAAAAAATTCATACATTTTTGTTTTAAAATTTGATCATCTTTGTATATCTTTATATGGAGCTCTTCTTTTAAAGGAGATCGAAATAGTCTGAAAATGGCTGCCACCCCCAGCCTCTTTAACAAGAGAAAAATTGAAGATAACGAATAGTGATCGATCTCAACAAAACTGTACAGCAGTGAAGCTATGTGAAGAAGGAATCAAACATGAGGTCTAGGAAATTTCAGAGATGAGACCAGGTGCCAATGTAGGAAAAGCATCTTCTGTTGATAGGTCACAACCGCTGTGAGGTCTTTGAAATTAATTAATGGGACATTTTGTTGTCATATTTTGTATTAAAACAATGATCTTATATTTAGATTGAAACAAGTTCTTCAGAGTAGAATGCAAAGATGGGGTATATTTGCTAACATTGTCCTTTCTAATAAACAAAGACTTCACAAAATACAAACTTTAAACGAGGTTGTGAATTCCCCAATTTGTATACAAAATCATTGCACAACTATTTAAAGTTTCAAAATGAGAAAGTTTGTGATTAAGTTACTTTTGATTGTTCTCTCTTCAGTATTTATTCCATTCAATGTAGCAGCTTTTCATAAGGCAATATTTAAATTGAAGCATTTCTTAAATGTTTTAATTTTTTAATTAAATTGACGTGCATGTTTGTTTGTTTTTTAATGTAATATTTCATGAAACCCCAATCAATTTAAACTTTTATGTATATTTTTTTCAGTATTTGCAGTATTTTTGTTGAAATATTACATATAAGTACATTTTTAGTGACAAGAAAAACATTTTGATTGGATAAGAAATTGACCAATTAAATGCTAAATTTTCCTTGTAATTGCTTACAAAATCAATATCAGCAGGTATATAATAAACTCTCTGAATATACTTTTGTATTTCTCTTCCACTGGATCAGAATGAAGACTTTCCTGTTTCTTGCTTTATTGTTGTGTGAGTATCTCAGATTTCATTCTCAATTGCAAGGGCTCACTACGATATTAATAAAAGACTATTCATTCTTAAAGTATAAAAAATGACAGCATTTAACATTCTACATTCAGTAACATTTCAATATTGAGTTTCTGAATTACTGTGTATTTTTTAACACTGTATAATGTAGAAATGCTTTTGTTACTAGATTAATAGAAATCGCAATCTGGAATGCATTTCATATACGAAATCTAACAATGTGTGTGTTATATACCTTAAAGTATACATCAGTACCATATATATTCGACTATAAGTCGATCCACTGATAAGTCGGTTGCATAATTTTTATGTTCATTTTTACTCAAGAAATACGATGAAATATATCTTCATTTTCAAAAATACCATACTGCATATGAGACATCTTAGTGTATATTAAAAATATGATTTTTTAAAAATAATTTTTACATTTAGGTATCTGGGGAACTGGTAAGTAGTCATTTTCCTTTTTTGATGAAATGATCATTAATTGTTAAAATCAAAACATTAAATTGTCATTTTGTGCTCTTGTATTTGAGTCAAACTGATAACGTATTCTCTAGAAAGTCATCAAAAACACCGTTAATCTGTGAGTCACAGTGACAACATTTCAAACCGATATCTTGAAACAGAGCACTATGAGTCATATAAAATCTTAAAAGAATGTAAAGGTTTTTTGAAGATAAGACACACATTATAAATAATCTATTGAATTATGAACCAGGTTTCAATTTCAATTTGTTATCTATGTATGTATGAAACGACAATTGGTGAAAAGAATTCCATAAGGTTTGACAGAAAAAAAGTTGGTCGTGCCACATGACCGAGTTGATCACGTAACGGACACAACACTTTTCCTAAACATTTCACGTAAATGAGATCGCACATTGTTACAATTGAAACGCTTTAAGGAGAGGATATTTTCATTAAGTAATTCTGTTTTTGTTTGAATACGTACATATCAAAAGAAAAGAATAAGATTTTATATATTCGGAGTATTAATTATCATAACGCTGCATTAAAGCTTAAAACTACAACCCAGAAACCAGTATTAATCATCAACGTAAAACTTATTTTACATGTCATGAGAAAGGAATGAAAAAGAAAACGAGTTTTTTCCGTCTAACATCTGCTTATTTTTCTTTTTACATGACGTCACATGCTATTTTGACGTCATCTCTACGTACTTAAAAGAAATTATCAGTGCCAGTACACTACGTTATTTTTTGACAACCTTAGTCTATCAGCAAATACTATACAACATATTCTAAATTTCCATTAAATTTCTAAATATATTCTGTCGATTCAAAACATATCTCTAACATGACGCAAAGGAGCTAAATGGTAAAATTAGAAATATAATACAAACTGTGACTTTTTTAAAGTACACGTCAGGTAGAGTTTGCATATTTTTTTTAAAATATAACCCTGTCTTATAAAATTATACCGCGATTTACACTTACATGTATGGTTCCTGACATCCTATACTTGATTGAGTACTAATAAATCCAGCATATCTAGTTAAAAACCGAATTCAGAAACTGGTTTAAAAAATATAAATAATAATTGATCTCATAATTTGAGAACAGGGGGTTAATACATAATCCTGTTAATTCCAGAGGTGGATCGGTTGCCGAGGAAAAGAAAGCATCCCCTCATGTAAATTTAAAATGATAAGGTCACAATACATAATCCTCCAGAGGTATAAATTCATGTAAATTTAAAATGATAAGGTCACATCTTTTATATCGATTGAATCCCTTGAAAAATAAACAGTTCATTTTTTTTCAACAGTTCATGATTACTTTTGCTATATTACAGCCCAAGTTGAGGCACGTGGCCTCCCTGAAGTGAATGATGGTAAGTTGATCTAACAATATTTCATTAAGTAGAGGAATTACCTACTTTAAGAGACTTCTGATAAGAGATTTCAAAATATACAAAAGCCTGAGGCATTTCAATATGAAACATTTAACCTAATAATCAGCTCATTGCTATCCTCTGAATGCTGCTTACTTTTTTAGATGAAAAGCCGTCTTCAATTGCAGTGGATATAACGATTTGTTTCAAGCAGCACGTATTATATGAGTTTACAATCATTGATTCGTCATATTTTTTTCATGTTGCAGGACATTATCGTGCAAACTAATCAAGTGAAAAAAATGAAACACATAGTGCATAAAATGTCATAAGTAAATTTGTTCTACAAATAATCCATGAAAAATTCAACAGCCTTATTAACAATGTATTTAGGCTATCATAAAATAAGGGTAAGGAAAATGATAATATGCTGTATTTAAACTGACGACAAAGACTGTCGTTCGTCAACTACTTATAACATTTTCTTTTTCGAGATTGTTCATGGTATAACTATGCCAGACAAATCTTGAATTAAATTATTGTACATGTAATTGAAAATATTAAACAAAGTCAATAAATGTTTTGTTATACCTTTCATTTTATTTATTTATTTATTTATTTTTTGTACTGTCTTCCGTGATGTACATATAACCTCGGGTCCGTCACTTTTGAACACCAACAAATGAAAATGAGATTAAGCTCCGCCCACTCTGTGAGGAAAGCGGTCCAACATCTCACTCAGCGGTCCAACATCGATTTTTTCAGCCCGCTCAGTTAAACATTAAATATGTTAGACTTTTTTTCGTATAAATTTGTATAGGAACATTTTTTAGGTATAATAAATGCTCTTGTTTATTTTAAATATATATTTTTTCTGTTTCGTACTTTTTTCTTGATTTTTTAACAATCAATTTGCATTGCAGACGCTCCAATTCGAATCGCTCGATCAGCTGCAGGTATGTATATACTTCTGGAATGGTATTAAAAGTGTTCTTTTATTCGTGTTTCAGGAACATGCATATTTGAAGTCACTTTATATATCGTTTGTTTTGCATATATTTATTTAAGGAATCACTGTCTATTTAGTACAGTATGCCAGGGCATCAACGATAGAACGATAGTAGGAAACGTTGGATAATTTCCCACGTTTCTCTCTATCATTGATGTCCCTGGCATGCTATATTACCTAGACAGTGATTCCTTATATTTCCATTTCATTATGAAATACAAATGTAGATTTAGATTTTAAAAATGTAGACTAATAGATTTAAATAACACGAGGCCTCCCATGTCACTTTCAATAGTCCTCGCGCACTGACGTCAAACATAAAGACAGTCGCATGAAATTTACGTGCATATTTTATTATTTGGCCTCCTTAGCGTCAGACACAAAGACAGACGCGCACGAGAATTAAATGCATAATAGGCCTCATTAACACCTGCCCTATCGATTTGCCTAATTAAAATTCCAGTAGAAATATCAAGGGATCACCTCCACTAACTTTCAAAGAGTTATCACAAGGAGAACAAATTAGAAATGGAAATATATATTGTCTTATACCTTCGGGAGAATTTTTCACTCAAATGGCGATGCCAACACTTGCCGGTGGAGAGCTGCAAATGTTGTCTTATACTCGGCATTTGAGCTGTGAGGGATTTTTTTTCGTGCCAGCACCTACTTCGATACGCAGGGCCTCTGTTTATACGGTCTCATCCAATGAATTGATCTCCATGTCCCACAGTGGAATGCGAACACATGATGTAACGATCAACTCCTTATTTTCTTAACAACTCTAGAGCAGATGCTCTAATCACTGCGCCACACCGGCGACCATTTCGTATATGTAATAGTTGTACACAATGATATTGAAAGTATGTTGTTTCAATTTAAGAAATTTTTTAGAATTTTTTTTTTATATTTTCTGTTTGTTTCTGTTTGGCAGTAATAAATCGACAAGATTTAAAAGATTTTTTTCAATATATGTATTTTCCTTTATTTATATGTATTTGTGTAAAATTTACATACTGATATCTTCAAAATTTGAGATAGATTTATTTTTCCTTTATATCATTTTCTTTTTTATTTCTCTCTCTCTCTCTCTCTCTCTCTCTCTTTCCATGGGTCATTGCCTTCCTAAATCATTTATTTTCGAGGCTTAGGTGGATAGAAGCATTCTTCAGATCGCCCGTGTAGCATAGTAGAAAGGGCATCTGCTCTAGAGTCATGGAGTAGGGTGTTGATCCTTACGTCGCGGGTTCGAACCCGCGATGTAAGGATCAATTCCCTACTCCGTGACTCACAGGAACCTGAAAACCGCTCCTCTGGATGTCATCCGGAGGTCTCGTGTCACAGAAGGGGCTTGCACAGAAACAATCCCTCACTGCTCAATGACCCGAGTGCCGAGTGTAGGTCAAAATTAGTATCCTTCTACTGACAAATGGTGGTGTTTCCATGTGAGTGAAAAATTCTCGAGAGGGACCTTAAACTACCTACAAACAAATACAAATTAAAATGTGAAAAAGTCATAAAATCGGCTTTTTATGCATTTTTTCTATATAATCCGAAACATTTCATTTCTGCTTATTGTTAAATCCATTTTATTCATTAGAATAAATATATTTTATATCAAGTTTAATTACTGCATTGACAAAAAAAGACACATTTTATTGTGTAATGAAACATATGGAGATAACGAACAGTACTCCTGATCAAAAGTCCATAAAACAATACAAAAAAGGAGCATAGCAAACACGGACCTCCTCAACATCAGAGGTTGGATCAGGTGCCACTGAAGAGTGAGTATCCCCTGGCGACCAGTCACACCCGCCGTGTGCTTCTTTCCTTATTGGGAAAGAACGGAAAATTCCGTCGTCAATTCAATGTATGGATAACATAATGGACTAAGAATTAGTATGAAAAATGTCATTTAGCATTTGACTCTATGATAAATTGTATTTGCTGAAATTATCACATATCATTTTTACTATTCTATTTTACAGGCCTTTTAACGAAGAGAGGGGGATGTTGTGACTATAGATGTCGACCCGTGCCGTGCAGTTGCTGTTATGCATGATGTCTTCGAATATCAAAAATACATTTTTTTTTCATGTATTTGATCTGAATTGAATAAAGAATCGAAATGCAAGTTTCCTTAGTTTCTCAAAAAAACGATAACACTCAGTTTTAAGTGTTTTATTATATAAACTTCCGAGTGTACATCTGTAAATCATCCCTCAGAATATCTTAAAAATTAATTACTCCTGTAAGACCTTCATTCACATTTACATGTAAACACATTTAATGATTCAAATATTTTTGCGTTGCATAGATTGAAATTAGGGTCATTGTTGACCAGAATTGTCAATGATGTGTGATACCCAAATAACATGCATTGACATTTTGCTTATCATGCCCAAAGTCGATTGAAACCGGACATGTTGACACCATTTTATACACATTAACCGGCCAGGTAAACGCAAGGAAAACAAATAGGAAATAAGTCCTATTTTCCGATATTTTCAACTGCTTATTAATGTACTCTTTTAATAACTTGTTTATCAATAAAAAACTAATTCATTAAATAAATTTTCCAACTGTTAATGTGACGGAAGAATGGTAGCATAATTTAACTTCATTACAGGAGTCTGAGATTTTTATCGTAAAAAAAATCCAACCTCAACATAAAAGAAAATCACCAGGATGGCAACGCGTTTTTGGGGTACACACTTAAGCAAATAAATCTGGGTTTGGCCAGAAAATTTTCGCGACTGATTCAGTATCCGGAGTGTTTGTGCTATTTATTCAAGTTAAGAAATCCAATCTGCTCGATGATTACGGGCCATGCGTGGCCTTTTTCGAAAAACACTATAGATATTGTCATAAGAAACTCAAGCATCTTTTTTATGTCAGCTTCAGAGTATTTTTCTGTACAGTTTGTGTTTAACAAAAAATATTGCAAATGACCATAAACTTAGTAAGTAAATTAACAAATTCCATGTTTTCCGAAAAAAAAAGCAGCTATCAATGATATCAAAAAAGCCTGACTTAAATTTGTATATTTAAATGAAAAGTTGTAGTGCTGTTGATTATATCCCCCGTTTGAAAAGTGGGAGAAATATAGTAATCGGTATGTCCGTCCGTCCGTCTGTTATGCTTTGGGGTATCCATCTCTTATCCGCAGCTCCTCTTATTCTACCGGGTGAAATTTGATAAAACTTGCACAGAATCTTTATTACATATTGCCATTGTGCACCTCCTATTTTACTTTTTTATTCGACACGTATTTTACGTTTCCCATAGCAAAGCATGGATATTGTCATTATATTCTTACCTATGACGTCACATATGGCGGCTTCTGAATAACATTTGATACGACGAGTTATTCCTCTTTACACATAACCGTAAAACAATAAATAGCAAAACATGGACATTATGGGAGGCGGGGGGTATCATTTAGTGAGCTCACTGCTCACAGTAAATCTAGTTTTGGTTAAAGTTTTGTTACTTAAAAATTTCCAAAAGCAGATTAGAATTTTTAAGTATCCACATCTTATTTACACCACTTCTCGAATATATCATTATACAGTACTCCTAAAAGTATTTCTCTTTCACTACTGCTAATGTTTTGTTGAGGAGTAATAGAAGATACTTCAAGTTGGTAGACCATTTACAAAACCCGTGATGTATATTTGGTAGTATTTCTATGAAGTTTTTGGAATTCAATATTGATATGATAATTAATAATCATTCCGGTTTTAGGAATATTATAAATATAATCAAATATTAATATGATATTTGAAAAAATTCCTATTTTAAAAAGGAAGAAATGGGTTTGATTACCACCATATTGTTGAAAATATTGTTGTTTGCTTTTCAGTAGGGATCAGTACATTTTTACCGTGTAATGTACCATTTTTTTTTACCTTCTGATTTACTGAAAATATAGGGATAGTTGGTTTTCATGTTGACCCTTATCAGTCGCTTAGAGTATAAGTGCAATGATTCAAACCTAGATTCATTCAACACGTACAGGCAGCATGATTCAATTTAACTTTACAAAGATACTTTATTTGGACAATATTTAAAATGCTGTTAACATATATGAAAAAAAAAATAATTAAAAATGGTTGATGCTTTAAAACCATAAAACATTATGATAAAAACAGTAATTTTTTTTTACATACGAATACATGTACACTCCTACCATCGATTCTGTATCTTTTATATCTTAACCCCTACAAATCAAATTTTTCTTCAGTGAATACAAAAAAAATATACATTTGCCAATATCTTTCTTCACATCACAATCCAAATGACATTCAGTTTGCGATGAAAGGAATTTGGTCACGTAATCAAAATAAACTGCTGGTAAAATGCAAAGTGCGAAATACATTTGAAATGTCTAGAATTTGAAGTTACATGATGTCGTGCAATTATGTTATTTAGTATTTCTATTTCAAAATCAAATCAGTGCATTTTCGTCCTTTTTTACACGAATACAGGTATAAATATAAAAAGACACCCAAGAGTTTAATTGAAATATGACTTTAAATTGATACGTAAGAGAACATTTAAATGATATTGAATTTGATCATTTGTTCAATGTCATGTGATGCCTCATTTAAACCAAAAAATGATACAAATGATTTTATAACTTGCAATCAATTTATAACCTCCTGCAACATTTATATTTTTTAATCTCAAATAAACTTTCATAACAATTGTCGTTAACTTCTTTCATGAGTAGGTAGAATATAAGCCAAACATATAACTAAACTGATGTTTCAAGGCCCTTCATACTTTCATGATTTTGTAATACTGTAATCGTATTACAGTTAGCGGTGTATTTTAATTAGCGATTTTGGCAGTAAGCAAAGTCTACTTAATTAAGAACATCACTAAATGCCTTGTAAATTATGATTTATATCTAGCACATTACGCTAAACAAATTCTACAATTACTTGTTGCAAAAAAATTCTCAAAATATCGTGCAGAACAAAATATAAATATCAAATATAAATGCATTTACAGTAATATCTTCAAAAGATGGGTGGGATATTTTATCCTGAATTTGCCGAAGCACATGCAACATCAGCATACGTGTTTATCTTTTCGTATTCCAAGTTTTGTTCATCAGTACTTTGTCTCCGTGATAATGAGTTGTAAACTTGTTCTCTAAGACTGTAGGTTTCACCTTCTTTGGTTCTTGTACTCAGTCTTTTGCCTTTGGCATCTGCAAACGCAACTTTAGCATTAATTTTGAAGGAAAAATAATGAAATAAAATTCATCATTCAATTCGAGATCAACTTCTTGTTCATAACAAACAAGGTATTTTTATGAATGTTTTTTCAGAAAATTGATACCAAAATTAATTAACAATTAATTAGAAACAAAATGGAGTGCTTAAAATAATTCATCGTCATGACAATATTAAATATATTACATATTTTCAGATATAAAATTTCGAAATACACAAATAAAGGTCAATTCGACTCGAAGATTCCTGACTATGAATCTAATTTGTTAAAATTCTTTAGAACTTACTTGCAATTCTCCCATTTTTGAGAGATATTATCAATAAAAAGCTTAGGACAAGAACCAGACCTCCTAGGACAGTAATAATAATATCGCTTTTCTCGAGTACCCGGATCAATTTCCCTGATTTTACAGGCACCATATCTTTTAATGTAAAAAAAATAAATAAATTTGCTACATATTCTTCAAAACACGTGAAAAACATCTTCAATTGAAAATACTTCTGAATCAGTAAATTATCTGTTTTGTTTTTTTCCTCAATTATTAAGTTTTTTTATGTAGATTCTTTGAAGAAGGAAATTTATAAATTATACCTCAGAAATACATACCTTTGTTCTGGATTTGAATAGTTACGATTATCTTTCCATCGAGAAAGAGTGAGTAGTTCCCATAACACTTAGGATTGAATATAGGAATATCGCTACTAATCCATAACTGATAAGGCCTATTTCTCTGAGCAATAATTGTTTTTATTCTATCGTGCTCAACAGGTCCCATCCAATAGGCATGTTTGGGTTCAGGATAACTTATAACAGGAACACTAAGAGAAACAACCTCTCCCGCCACTGCGTTATAGAGATACTTAAAATGCATTTTACTTTCCAATCGAGGAGAACCTTCAATAGAAAAGAGAAGTCGGTTTACGTTTGTGTAAATTAATATCTATCAAAAAATCTATGCAAATTCAAAAAATTATACCGTGTAACAGGCTAAAACCATAGCACCAGGAAGGAACATATTTACTTCTTCAAAAAAGTAATTCATTATACCTGTAAGGTTTACAATATATTCAAAGTCTTGAGAAAAATACAAAATCACTTCCATGAATACGTCACATTATTTTAACTGTTTTTGCTACATGTTTAAGGAGGCTCATTACACCACTTTTTGATGACGTACTACACAAAAAAATAAACCTCCATTGTGTCGACCAGTTTGCTCAGGGGACGAGTTGTATAGGTACCTCTATAATATGACCCTGACCTTTAAAACGCTTTAAAAATGGATGAAACATGCGGTGTTGTAAACAGTGAAAACAAAGTAACGGATTCATTATGCATAAACCAAGAAGAATTGCTTTTAGGCAGAAACAAAAGAGAGCAACAGTCAAATCTTCGCCAAACAAGTAATGTCAATTTCATAGCCATGCCTGCAGTGAACTCTATCAATCACTGACATGTATGTATGGAGGAAATTCGTGTTAAAATCTACAACCTTGTTGAAATTAAAATTTTATTTAATTGCGCTATTTACTGTGTTGGTGTTAATTTATATATTTGTTTTATTGATTTAAATGTATACTCTCGCAATTTAAAGCTTTATTCTGAATTTTAGATGTAATGTCAAACGTTCCATGTTTTTTGAGTCTTGGCTAATTAGGAAAGATAACTCTTTGTGGACTTTTTATATACCAAATATTTTTTAAATTGGATTTTTCATTTCGTTTAAACTTGCTTCATTCAATTTGACACATGTAATTCATTGAAATACATTCCTTGTCTCTTCAGAACACATTTTTAAAATGTTTTATGCATAGATTAAAAAGATGATGACATTAATTGTTTCCTAGGAGAAAATTATTTTTTCTAATAAAATTATTATTAGGTATTATGAGGTATTTTCACTGTATTTTCTAATAAAATTATTATTAGAGAGAGTGTGTAGAGAGAGAGAGAAAGAGAGATAAACCTGAAATTAAACATTTCACTAAAATAAAACAAAAACTAAAAAATTCTATAAAAAATATTTATGATATCAATACCCCCATCTGGATATTTGACATTTACATTATAAGTGGTGCTGTATTGAAATCTAAAATAAACTGTGGATGTAATGAGCCACCTTAAACTTATTTTCCTGTATTTAAAATATGAGAGAGAGAGAGAAAGAGAGAGAGAGCAGGGAGAAAGAGAGAGAATTAAGAAAAGAGAAGACGAAAACTAATGAATGTAAAATATATAACTTACATTTTACATATATTTTCGTTGCAGAAAACCTATCGATAAATTCTTTGTTTCTAGCAGTGCATCTATATGTAGTTGTATCAGTGCATTGCATTCCACCCAAAAAAGTATAAGTAAACGATTTCTTTGATCTGAGCCCAAACATTCCGACTTTGTTCCCGTGTCTTGTTTCGATAATAACTTCGGGCTCGGGATTCCCATTAGCTGTACAGTTCAACGTTACAATATCCCCTTCATCCAGGACATTATTAAGTCCGTTTTTGACAGTTCCATTGACTGACACTAAGAATGTTGGTGAAGAAAGATCTGAAATAGTTAAGTAATAACGAATATTGGTTATTGCTTGGTAAGATTATTTTCACATTTCTTTTTTTTTTATTCCTTAGACTTAAAAGAAGTCAATGAATAGAACACTATACCTTACAATTTATCGCCTTAAAATAGTCATTTTTACCAAAAAAAAAAAAATCACAAATTGTTTATGTTAATTTAATTGCCTTGTTATAACACTTAAAATTGGTATATGGGAGGAGTGACTGATAAGAAAAATTATAAACTTGATAGAAATACTAACAGATAAATAAAACTGGAAGAAATTTGGAGCATTCTCGTTTTGTTTTCCTTTCTCAGTCATAGCTTTTCAATAGCATTAACTTAATTATATGTAAATATTACATAAGGTTTTTCTGTAAAATCCTTTATCATGTAGATCTTAAATGCCCTTTCCTGATTTTCTAGATTTTCCCATTTTCTATTATACATAATTGACACAATTCGTATTTCATTTCCTGGTAACACTTAATTGATATTCTGTGACACAATTTAATTTTTGTCCAATAAATAGTGTAGATTTAAAAGTAATGAACAAAATATACTAGTAATCGCTGAAAGCAAATTTTCTTTTTAATCTGAAAAAAAAAATGTAAACATGAGAGACGTAAATAATATGATGAAATAATTGGCTTCCTAAATAATGAATATAAGGAGATAACGATAGATGTTCAGGATGAAAAGATCATAAAACAATACAAAATCGAAGAGTAAACACGGACCTCCAAAACATCAGAGGTAGGATCGAGTGCCATGGAGGAGTTAGCATCCCCTGCCGACCTGTAACACCGGTACCCGCCGTGTGCTCCTTGTCGTGATCGTGAAATATTAGAAAAATCCGTCGTCAATTTGGTGTATAAATGATTATGGACTAGCAATTACCATGACAAGTGTTAGTCAGCATTCGAATGAATGATAAAAGGAATTGTTGATAAGTCTTACATTGAATATTAAAACCAATGTCCCGGATAGCTGTTGTCTGGCCTTGAGTGTTATTATATTGTCCTTTAGCCACGCATCGGTACGCCATAACTTCATCTCTGTGTATATGTTGAATTGGAAGTGTCATTCCAGAAAAGCTTGTTAATTTGGTCCCCATTGGATCGATTCCCTCCCAATATACATGACATGGAGGGTTACATCGGGCAATACAATTGACAGGGCCAAAACTACTGTTGTCATGGATACTGAGAGTTGTGTTAAAATTCGGAGATATTTCAGCTGATTCCGGGCCATCTTTGAAAAGAGTTTTTTGAAAAGAAATCACACATGTGTTTCATGAACGAATACAATCTTCAAACATTTCTATCAAATTATGCATCACATTTAGTAATATAGTATGCTATTTATTCTCTAACCAAACCTACTATTTTACTTCGGGATAGAATATTGAGAAGACTTTGCATAAGGTAAAAAAAAATCAAATGGAAATCATCATATATTTAAATTAGAATTATACAAAAACATAATAACTCATGACTTTGAAATAATCTTGACATTTAGATTTGTTGAAAAAAACTTGAATGCAACTTAAATAATTGTTCGAAATCATAAAAATTAGTCGTTAATTAGTGTGTTACTTAAGAAATAAGGTATCATTTTTTGAGTTTTATTGGGATGTAAAACAGATTGGTCACGTGATTTTGGCTTTATGGAAGATTTGATCATGTGCCAACCCGTATTACATCCCAATAAAACTCAAAAAATGATACCTTATTACTTATATTTACATATGTGACTTATTAATACTTTAAATTTGCCTGATTGTGACTTTTAACGTGTGAAATGCATAATTTTTCAAACCCAACTGCATGTATGTAATCTACTGAACGTGCGTCGACCCTTTATGACGTCACTGAGAAATTACGTCGAACGTTTATCCATAAGCACATCTATGATCTCCAGACCCCGTACCTGTATTTATACAGCTATAAATACGCTTGCTTTCAGTAGTGTTATATAAAGTAAAATATTTGCAAATGTAAATATTTACATTTAACTTACATAAAGGGTCAACAAGATACACGTTAATCACAGTGTGTGACTAAAATTTAACTTACATAAGGGTTCAACATTATAAATGTCGCTCAGAGATTCCAGAGTTTCTGTAACTTTACATGTGATGATGTCCATCCCAATCCTCTTATGCACATTCATTTCTATCTTTTGACCTGTAAATGCTTCAGTCCTGTTTATAAACCAGGTATAGGAAAGCGGAGGAAATTTCTTGTAGTAACTTGGCTTTGATCGCGAAGACGATGAGCATGATAATGTTGTCTTTTGTCCAATCGGAACTCTATTATTTCCACTTATGATTGGTTTATTTGGCTTGGCTAAGATAAAGAGATGTCAAAGGTGAAAGAAAAAAAGTGTTGTTGGCATTGTCATTATTTCCAACAATATGAAATGTTTTTGTAATTTGATTATTAAACTTTATTGTTTCTTTTATTATCACAAAGACGTCAAGATTATCTTTACTGCGGTTTTATAATCAACGCATGATAAGATTGTTCTACTTGCTTTTAAATAAATAAATGCATAATATATTTTTTTTATGGTGGCTTTCATTTCAGTAAGTTTTTCTTAACTAAATGAGAATTGAAAACATTTCAACTATGTTTTTTTGTACTTTTTTTCAATTGTCTAATCATTAAATTTCAAGTCTGTTTTAAAACAATGTCATTGACGTAAATATCCGTTATACCGTTTATGAGGCCTTCCCCCTAATTAATACTTGTAAAAACAAGTTGCTGTCCTTTAGATAAGGACTGCAATACGTGAACCATATGCATGTTTTTCTAACCGAAATTCAATTGAGAAAATGTTTAGGTGTAGGGAATATTCATGTAGTTTGTTCACATTTTCTACAATAATCTGCCTACTTATGACTGATTGTAGTCTCAAAGCAAAATTTTAAAATTTATCTCCGGATAGCGACCTTCAGTTTTGTCAGTTTAAAAATAGGTTATTTTAATACGTGAAACTCATACTGGCTGGGATTTGACACCTGTTTTGGATTTATACGGAAGAAATATTTCATGGGAAAATAGAGATATGATGTTTCACGAGCTCTGTAGTACTGCAGATTTTTTTGTCGGAGCCCCCCCCCCCCCCCCCCCCCCCCCAAGCACACATTAAAAGCTGTTGCTACAAACCTTTATCAAACGATATTTAGATTGCTGAAATATTAAATTATTTTGCGAGCCTTGATGCACAAAGCTAGTGCTGGTGAAAACTTGTTCTATCTTTTAAAAGCTAGAACTAGTCGTTGAATGACGTTTTTCATTCAAGTTGTTAAGTTACATGTATCTATATATACCGCAATTTCTTCCTACTTTTTAAAATGCTTGTACCATAGAATCAATATTTAGTTTTTATATAAACGTTAATGTAAATGAGAGAAAATCTGATCCGCAAACAAATAAGTAAATGGGATATTCAGATTTAAAAGCGCGATTTGCCAATGAATTGCATGCTTTAATTCGAATAGGGCGAATTATTCTACGGGCAAGTTACCTAAAGCGCGAACTCTATAGCATTCTCGCGCATGCGTAGCCTGTCGTTTGCCCATGGCATCCGCTTTAACCTCGCTTATATATTTACTGTGGACCTCAGAGTCCACGCATTGAGGGTTAATAAATTTTTCTAGTTATTGCATTTCTCAGATAAAAAATGGTATATAAAGAAACAAAAGATTTCTGCTGTAAGAGGAAACGGACGCGAGCTCTTGAGATGGAAATAAATAAAAATGCTGTCCACAAGTGGTTGAACTTTTCAACTGCACGTCTGATAAATGAATGCTTTCCTTGTTTATATAAAGATACCCTTGCTTTAGGTTAGAGATTACCAATAAAATTTTACTGAGAAGCGGCCTGTTGTTGATAAAATTTAGTTTTTTTTTTTAAAATAAAATAAAATAAATGAATAAGTAAATGAATAAATAATAGATAAATATTATGCAAAAGATTCAATATGGTTTTGCCACTTCGGATTTCGAAGGAATTACAAATAAAAATATAGTGAGGTGTGTAAAGAAGTATAAATGTTGCGCAGACAGACAGGCAGACATACAGCTAGACAGACAGATCCTGGAGTCGTGAGTCGCACTGTTTCGATCCTTACATATATCGACTTCAAGAGAAATGTATATCGACCGAGCACGATGTTATATTTATGTACTGAATTATTTTCACTCCTTGTTATTTTTGCAAACACTTGTTTTTAATTTGCCTAGTCACCGTTCTTTTTTAATGTATTTATATAATATAAATGCCGCCCTTTCATGAGGTCGTTCCCTATATATATCGATTTGCAGAGAAATGTATATCGACCGAGCACGATGTTGTATTTGTATACTGTTATATTTTCACTCCAAGTTATTTTTGCCCTTCGTCACTTGCAAACACTTGCTCTAAATTCGTCTACTCACCGTTCCGATTAAGAAATTATACTTTCTTAATTGAATTCATCCCGTCTAAAAATCGCCCACCTTTGAGTTGTTTTGGTTGTTAAATATCTATTTTGAAATGTATTGTCTGTAAACAGATGTGCGAGCTTTACCTCATTTACTGATTTTGTTAAAATACTAATTTTATGTTTATTATATTTTGATATAAAAGTCGTCCTTATAAGAAAACATCAGATATTCTGACAGCAACTCGATATTATTATAGAGCAAAATTTCAAGATATTTCATCAAAAATATAAAGAATTGATTATACTATAACAGTTAATGACGGTATGAGTAGCAAACATGCCTATACATCTGAATGTTTACCTTTGACAACAAGAATCACACCATTCTGTGTTCTTGCATTTTCAACAGTGTACCCCACGCTATAAAACCCTGCGTCCTCTGTTGACACATTTTTTATTTCAAATATGATATGACTTTGAGTATAGCGAAGCTTGTATGGAGAACCGCTTTGATACCGAACATCAGGAATAATTGTGGCTTCTTCTTTTGAGTGTAACCTATACACCTTGTAAACAACGTTTTCTGGTGTGTGGGGAATAGGTAGTGTTATTTCCACTGCCCCACCTTCTACTGTCATCATAACGTTAGCTAGTGAAATAAAGAAACTATATTTTTTTTCTGATAAAAGTAATTGAAATCAAATAACAGAAAAAAATCTGAAATATATATGTATTCTATATCCAATACAAAGAGTTTAATGATGGGTTCATAAGCCAGGCAAGAAATACTGTCACAGTGTAACTTGGGTTGAAGACATTAATTAAGGTTTTGAAACTATAGGTTATACCAGTATGACTTTCGTAGCTTTGAATTGGTTATTTGATTTTTCCATTATAATAGGGAATTAAAACATATTGCTGACGTAGGCAGCGCAATTAGTTACATATATATATTATCAAATGACGCGTAACATCAAAATTAAAGGATTCAATAATCAACTTACGTCTGTATTCCGATCTGCTTTCATGGTACCGATAACTGATAGTTGCACGCACTAAGATGGCGACAACATTGTATCTCAGGACATCGACAACAGTGACCTGTCCGTCATATTCTCTGGTAAACCCCTGATTCTGTCCATCAAGTGTAAGACTGACGTCCTGATAATCTGATATTTTTGGCCAGGTAAACTTTAAATCTCCATTCCAAAAACGAGATGAAATTGAAAAAGTTGCTCCTGAAAAAAATCATAAAAACTTTAATCTAAAGTACTTTTTGTGATGCATTTATGAAATAGCAGAAATGCAGTTAAAAAAGGACACAGTGGAATGAAATACTTTAATGAAAAAAATCAGAGAAGATTGATGTCAAAAAAATTAAATCCGAGAAACAAATAATGAATTTCAAAGAATATCCAAAATTCCAAAATAAATCAATGAATAAATAAGTCTGATTAAACAGATAAATATACTCTATTTTTCAATTTTCTCATAGACATTCCGGTTAAAACTTACCTATTATAACGTGCTCTAGGATAACGAAGAGCAAAATATAGTATTCCATTGATATATTTCAAATATCTTCAAATCAATCGTGGTCATTTGTAGATATTTGTCTTTATAACATTACGTAGTTGAGAGTGTCTGATTATATAATAAAAAAGCACGATGCGGAAAGCGTTTTAATTGCGATCTTGTTGAAAATGTTTATTTACTTCCTCTGTTTAATCGGTTTACAGATATAAATAAACAACAATTATAATTTTTAAACGTTTACAAAAACGTTATTATTTTTACTAATACTTCTAAAATATTTTCAAAACTTTACAAATATACGAGGGTTGTTCAGAAGGTTCGTGGACTTCTGTCATTTTAAATTGACGTCATATGTTACCGAAATTTGGTAGAAATATTTTAGCAATAAATTCAAATGTTTGTATTAATTTTTTTTTAGATATGACAATTTATTTACAATTTTTCCAGGTTTTTAAAAAGCAAAAATTAGAAGCAGAGCAGGTCAAAATGTAACACAATAGTTACAAAAAATACATTAGATATATTTGTAGTCATTGTAAAATGGAGAAAAAACGAAGAAAAAAACCCACTAGAAATTCAAATTAGGAACTGTTACATCGATTCGTATTCCAAATCATGGCTTTATATTTTGCATCGTTGAAAAGAAATCAACTTGAGAAGACAGGTAGTCCTCATTGGAAACAAACAAAAGGTGACGTTTTAAAACGCAACGGAGAAGCAGATGACGATGCAGTTTTGTGTTTTACTCAAGGGGAATCCTGAATAAACTCTAAAAATGGTGGAAGAATAAAAAGAATTTCACAGCATTTGTACAAGGGGAATCCTGAATAAACTCTAAAAATGGTGGAAGAATAAAAAGAATATGTCACAGTCATGTTGTGCATGTATGTACAAATTGGACATGCACCATACAAAATGTATATATATATATTTATCACAATTATGAAATTGTTTATTTTTCATGCACTTTTTTGTTATTCTCTTAACGTTGTGCTCCTTATTATATATTGTATTTCAATTTTGTGTTTAAAGTGGCATATAGGCCCGATGGGCCGGGTGTTGATTGTTATTTTATACAGTCTGTAAACATAAGAATTTAATTGTACACATGTCACTATAAATAAATAAATCACTTACTTACTTACTTACTTATTTACTTATTATCGCAAATCACATGGCCTTCTTGTACCTTGATAAAATTTAAAAAAAACTAGATATGAGAGAGAGAGAGAGAGAGGGAGGGAGAGAGAGAGAGAATTAAAAATAACACAATCAGTGAAAAAAAAAGAAATTAGAGAAAGTTTCAACCGTTTAACTGTTAAATTCTTTTAATCTCTAAAGAACAATCGCTATATATTGAGAGATATAAAGAGGAAAGTTTTTTTTTCAATATTTTTCAATGTTGGCGCGCAACGTCAAAACTGAAAGACATAAATATTTTGCGCTTCAGAATTGCTTGTCCTGTGAAAGCAGAGTTACGTAATAAAAAAGTTTAAATATTTACAGAGGAAATTATACACATGAAACAATTGTTTAAAAAGATATCAAACGATAGAAAAAGATGTTTGTTAGTTTGTATTGGATTATACTGTTTGAAATGTATAGGTGAAGTATTTTTGAAAAATTCTAGACGCTATGTTTTGACGTTTCATTGCCGTTAAGTGTGCGCCGCGTGTACAGAGCATGTTGATTTTAAAATGAAGTAAATTTACTTCTGCTAAATCGAATGAAATACCAACTGTTTTTACATATTATATTGTGATTTTTAAAAAAACATTATGAAAGTAATAATACGGAGATTGACATGATCTACGAACTTTTCCATCAACCCTAGTACAATTGCCTTAGTACTCTGTTGGGGCATGATAACTTTATTTCTATGGCAGGAAATATGAAAGTATGCACACGGTATTCTCATAATGTTGAATATTAGTAATTATTATACTTTCATGTAAAATTAGTTCAATCTGATTGGTCGATAAACATTTGTTAAAAAACACTATTACCCGCTGAATAATGAAGCCACGCCCTCCAGCGTAGCAACAGTCAACAAATGCTTAACGACGGGTGATATTCCAAAAAAATAGCGACTGCGCAGAATTTATTATGTTTTTGTATAAAACATTCAGTATAATATAATAAATATTGCATGTAGTTGAGTGTAAGCAGCCTCGGTTGACAATGGTTTTCTTGGGGTGAAAATTTTCAATGTTACACTCAACTACATGCAATATTTATATTATGTTATGTTTGGACGTTGATTTTAACTACTGAAGAAAAACGACTATTTCAGTGGTTGATTAATTTTCGTTGTTTTTTAGGCATTGGGAGACACATAAATTTGTTACAATCAAGAAATTAAATTTTTTATTGGCATTACTAATCACGTAATCAAGTCCCCAGAAAGCAAGTTTTTCCCCAAACCTAAAAAAAATTACCCAACGATAATAGTGATTTTTCAATAGTTTCAAAATTATTTCACCATTGTCTTTGTAAAGTTGAAAGTGTAACCAAATTAGATATTAAAATCAAATTGAACTACAAGATTTGTTTTATTAACGAATATTAGTCCAGCATGTCCTTGAGAATTCAGTTTGGAACAAATGACATATGCGGGCGATAACAGAATATTACTAAAGATTAACATTTCAAATATCCTTGCCGGAGAATTTACTATAAGTAATAAAATCCTTGATATTTTATGAATCTTTTGATTCACAGAAAACCATAATAGATTTTTCTAGGATGGGATAGGGGTGGGTTGGGGTAGGAGGTTTGAGGTATGATGATGATCAAGCGGTTGACATGCATTTAAATGATGTTGACAATTTCTTTAAGTCAATTGATTTAATTTCCTTGTTTTTTGCTTCCGTACAAGTTCCATTCTTTTCATCAAGATATTTATGTACTGACTTGCTCTATTTATTTGATAGTTACTTATAATACGAATAGATAAAATTATTTAGAAAAAAAAATTATGTTAATGATTTCTTGTGTTCTAAAATAACATCCTGTTTCCGTTAATAAAATCAAGGCACGTTCTGTTACATCCAGTGCTTTAAACCACTTGACATATAAATTCTATATGTATTGAAAGCTTTTTATTGTAGATTTTTGGCGACACATTGTCTGGCTATAAAATATTTGCTGCTACATGTAACGCATTTGTAATCATACAAAATGCACATTTATTCGTTGTTCAAGGTGACAAAAAAGGTATCCATTCCTTAATAAAGGGTACACTAAAAAGATTTTTAACAGATCTAGAATATTTATAAATGATTTAGAATTAAAATGAACAAAATAAGCTTCGTTTTGCAGTTGTCATAATTGTAAGCTATAAGACAGATCTTACTCACTATTTAGAATTGGTCCTGAATATTTACACATTGTCAATAAATTTATTTTCAAACTTGTCGAACTTACAGGAAGAAATAAAGACCTCTTCTGTTAGATTGAAAGATTGAAAACGTCTTTTTAATAGCAAATTTATGAGCAAAAGTTCTGCATATACTTGAGGAAAATGAAAGATTACAGATAAAATTGGTGAATATAGAATGAAATGTAGTGACGATCAACAGAAAATAAAACATTTAGCTAAATGTAAAGTTTTAGAACACCCATAATTTTATATTGAAAGGCTTGGTTAAAATTTTACAAATTTTCGTAAACTTTCTAAAGAAACTGTCAGACTATAGCAATATAAAATTCAAGTTTCACCAACACGACATTTGACACGGTAAACTATTCACAATAAAGATCATCCTATCCCTATACAACTACATGTACGGTGGGTCGTCAATGCAGTCAAGGTTGTATCCACTGTGCGATCTCAGATGAATCTCATTAGCGATATTACTTTCACTCATGGGACATATATTTGGAATTGGGGTTCCATCGTGGAATATCCATTGATTGTTTTCCTCTTCTCCTTGTACCCATATCTGTATATCATCTGGAGATGCAAAAGATTCTAAAAGTGCAAAAAAAAAAAAAAAAATAGCGAGTCTGCATATCGAAAGAATTTTAAATAAAAATTCAAAAGAGATATAGTAGTATTGATCACGCCTCGATTTAATATATTATTGATTTACTGTTACAGTTTATAAAGTTGATCAACTGAACAACCTTTTTACATTTGTTTGTAATTCTAATCAAATTATTGCTTATCAAATTCTTGTGATTGGCGAATAAAACCAAGAAAACGTGACGTATCAAGCACTTGATTTTTTAAGAAAAAAGTTTTCTTTGATTGGTAAGCCTTTATAATAAACACAGACAACATAATTGAGGGGAAGTTAATTGAAAAAAATAAATTTGTAAAAGCTCAAAATCTTCTCAAGATATACCCGGATTACGAAAGCATTGCAGACAGAATAACAGCTAGACATGCAGACAGAAGGGCGAACTGAAAGACAGATGGACGCTTGGACAGACCGAAACTAATATCACAACTTTCAGAGGGGGACAAAAACTCTCAAGACATGTATTTACAATTAATAGAAAAAAACAACAATAAAATTACTGATTATGAGCCCCTGCGTATATCTACAATATTGCTTGATTTCATATATACTTTTTACCTAAATGATCCTTAAAAATCTTGTATCTATTCTCAGAGTCGATATTTAATGAGGTCTCCACCATCTTTTTTACATCTGGACCCAGCGTCATAATACGTGGTGGGTATTGGTACGTATTTCAGACAGATTTCATAAAAAAGTATAACAAGACTGATATATCCAAAGGGGCAGGGTACTGCAAAACAAACAAACAAAATCAAGTTCCAACTATTTTCATTTGTAAATTTATTGTCATTTATAAAGCTTGTTTGTTTGTGGTTTAACCTCGCTCTCGAAAATATTTTACTCAAATGAAGACACCACCACTTGCCGGAGAAAACAGCAGATTTTGTCCTTTATTTATTCAGCACTAATGGTCATTGAGCAGTGTGGAATCTTTTTCCTTTCAACACCTACTGCGAGACGGAATATCGGTTTAAACAGTTTTATCTAAAGGACCTATCTCAATGCAATAATGTTTGATTATAATTTTACAATGCTTATTAGTATGATATGAATAAGAAGAGATTTATTATGTTTTCCGT